TCATTTCTTAGTAGTTGTTTATTTAACTCAACAGAAGAATGATATTCTTCTATATATGTATTCTGTTGCTATTTTCCACTCAACAACATACTAATATGATTCACTATGTTTTTATTTGTAACTGATTTCATTCAGTTTTATTTCAATTAATATTCCATTGTGTGAATATACCACATATTGTCCATTCTCCTGACAGTGGGCAGTTCAGTTGTTTATATTGTGCAGTTGTGAACAGTGGCTGCTATGAACATTTTTACCTGCTGCCTAAGACATATCTGAAGGTTTCTTCAGAGTTTATATCTGGGAATGGAAATATTGGCTCCTAGTGTGTGCAAGGGTTAAACTTGAAAGATAATGCCAAATCGTTTTTCCAAAGCTATTGGGCCAACTTGAATTCCCGCCAGAAGCATAGAAAGCTCACATTGATCTATATTTTTTCTAACACTTTGTCTTGTGAGATTAATTTCTGTCAATTCCATGCCATGTAACGTGAATGCTATCTAATGGTGTGTGATTTTGGTTTGCATTTCAAAGGTTACTAATGAGATTGTGCATCTCTTGGGATATTTAGTGGTCATGTCTATTTTATCTAATCTTTCAATTATAAGGTTTTATGGGTCTAAACTAGTAAATACTTGATATTTTTATATTCGCAGTTGTGGTGTCTTAATCATAAAAAGATATATAATCATTAAAGTTAAATAGATATAATTTAGTAGTATAGAGATCAGTGAGTAAACTTCTAATAAAGGATGCACAGTCAAATAGTTAACAAATGTGAGAGAAGAGGAAATAATTCTATTTTGAAATTATTTTCATGACATTTTTTTACAGCTTGGTGTTCATTTTTCTTTTGACAGAACGATTTCGAGATTTACTACTCCCTTCATCTAGTCAAGACTCTGAGATTCTGCCCTTCATTCAGTCTAGAAAATATCCCAAGTAAGCAATAGGAGTGACTGGGTATTGAAAAGGGAGTGGGCAAGTAAGTAATGGGAGAGATTTGGGAGGACAAAGATAAAATGTGTTCTTTCTTAAGATCTCTGAAAAAGCCAGAATTACTTAGCCTAACTAATTTGGGCATCTTTTGCAATATAATGTCCCAGGCTCTGCACAGCTGGGTCAGAGAAAAAAAGACTCGCTTGCAAGTGCAGCCAGCTGTGGCTGGGAACTGTTGAGAGTGCAAACCAAACGGTCTGCGTCAGTGTCTGGCTGCGTGTTTCTCTTTGCTTGGTGCTGTATCAACAGACACAGACACTCTGAGTGTCCGTCTGGTTTCCTGTTTCTATTCTTTAAAAAATGCAAGGGTCTATTCATATTGTATAAGTGGTTTTCAAATACCCATGTGCTAGATGTGATTTTAGCAATTTCCACAGATTTCCTCTGTACTGTATAGTTATGAGAAGTGTTATCTCCTGGTCCTTTCTAAATGGGAGCAGACCTTGACTCCCTTAGATGCCACAGGTGTACTAATTTGGCTGAAGGAATAGTCCTTCATCTTTGCAGAGAATAAAGAGTTACCAGGGATTTTTGTTTTGTTTTCAATTAGGCATCCTCTTTCTAAAGGCTAGTAGATGCTGCTATCTTGATGCTTCCTGGGGAAGCTCCAAGCTCCCTCTACTCTGTGAATGTCTGACACTCTTTACTAGCTAGTATGCAAGAGGCTAAAGAATGAATAAACTAATATCGTAAATAAAAAAGAAAGGTCACCAAGTTAAAGAGCTAAAGCTTGGTTCACACATTTTTCATCAAAACTAATCACTATGCTAAATGATTCCTTCTTTGGTTGGTTGGGCAGTTTATTCAGGTAGTCACTGAATTTCTCTTTCTAGGGTAACCTTTCCCCCTAATAATTAGCTTTAATAATATTTACTTAACTCTCAAAACAAAAATAAATATAGAATTCAAATTATTTGTTCATTGTTTTATATATGAATCCCTATTTAATCTCTAGCAATAATCTTGCAATGCCCTTACAACACACAGGGACACACATGTGCCTGGATAGCCTGGTATTGATACATTCCTCTTCCATGTACATATTGAAGTCTAGATGACAAAATAGGGTGTAAAGCAAAATCATAATTTTATTTTAAGAAATATACACAGAAAGGACCAGGATGTTATTGCTCACTGAGAAGTTAACAGTGGTAGCCCTGGGGGTGTTTTCACAGGGATTTCACTTCTCGCCTCTGCGTTCTCCCGCAGCATCAGGTACCGTTCTCATCCCATTCATCTTGCACTGCTGGTCACGAGAGCACCGGGCCTTGGCAGAACGACCGCGGAGGAGAGTCCTTGCACACGAGTATTTGAGGCACTCCTCCTGTACGCCACTGGCCGGAGTTCCTGAATGTGGCTTCTAAGCTAGTGTTTCCCAAACTTGGCCAATCATTAGTGTCACCGAAGTCACATATTAAAAAATCCCCCCCCCCCCAGCCGGTTTGGCTCAGTGGATAGAGAGCCTGCGGACTGAAGGGTTCCTGGTTCCATTCCAGCCAAGGGCACATGCTTGGGTTGCGGGTTAGATCCCCAGTGGGGGCAAGCAGGAGGCAGCCGATCAATGATTCTCTCTCATCATTGATGTTTCTATCTCTCTCTCCTTCTCCCTTTCTCTCTGAAATCAATAAAGAAATATATTTTTAAAAATTAAAAAAAATACTTAAAACCCAGTTTACACATGAGAGTACTCCACTCTAACTGCAGGTTTTCTTATTATTCATTTAAAATTCTATACAGAATTAACTAGGTTTGCCCATTTCCAGAATCTTAGGGAAATAGATTATTGACCCGTCTTGGAGGATAGCTCTTATATCAGCATAACTTTTGTCAACCTGCCCTTATTAATACACAGGGAAGTTTGTTTATTCACTATTTCTAGATTATTACTAACACTAGTGTGACACATTGCTTTGGTGGCCATTTAACATTTCTATGAGGTTCAGTTCTCTAAAGCATCAAATGAAAGCATGCTAATTAAAGATTTCTGGGTCTGTGTAATATTTATATAAAAATCCTAAATTAAATAGAGTTTGTTTCTTTAAGTTAAATAATATTAAACTTCACATTTTCCCATTGCACATTTAATGTCTACATAGGCAGTAGAATTTTAGAAGGTGTTAGTGGAAGAGAGGGGGGTAAAATAGAATTCTGTTTGTGCTGTGCCCAGGGAAGGGCATGGGCACGGAAGCAATGCCCATGTGAAAATTGCTGGGGAAGGAGAAGAGAGAGCTATGATAAGGGCCAATTAACAAATACAAGCGGGCAGGGATTTATGTGTGTCTCATTCTAATTTAAACAAATTTTGGATTATTTATCCTTTGAAATATCCTCCTTTATTCTCATTAATATTCACTCTCAAGTATACTATTCTCATTTATTCATTATTGAAGATAACTAAAAACAAAGGAACTTCCCATTTTGTGACACACAAAAATTTCTGGAAAGCTGAACATTTAATCAAAGCGTTATTATTTGTTGCTTTTATCTCAGCACAGTATACCTATTTATTCTGAGATATTTTCTATGAATATAGTCTTTCTTCATGAGAGCTATGTTTTCAGAGCTAACACATGGGTGAAGAAGCAAGTTATTTGCCCCATGTTACATAGTGTCACAGAGCATATTGTAGCCAGCCTTTCCGTGAGACTCACTCGACACTGGTTAATGTAGCTGTTGAAGGGACTGTGGTAATTTGGATTGGGGTGGGTTCTCTAGTTAGCATAGTATTTATAACCTAAAGCATCTTGTTACCAAGAGACACCTAATAGGTAATGGCACACAGTAAAAGGTAAAGGGTATTCTTTATTTAAAAAGGGGGAAAGATAAAAAAGAATAAAAAGAGAAAATTAATCGTGAAGAACTAGCTCTTGAAATGTATGTGTGTGCGCGCATGTGCACTCACCCACCTTTTAAGGGAAAGCCATTTAAAAACAGATGTTACATGCGATGGTGGTAGGAAACATTTTTCTAAAACATATTGTCCACTAATCACATTATTACCTTTGTGAACTTGCACTTGACC